CAAGATAGGCAGGCTGGAGAGCAGTGCGGCTGCAAACTGTGAAGATTGCAAATCTCAAGACTGGCAGGCAAGACAGCCAGCAAGCCACCAGCCTAAGTCGCAAGAACCAGAGGCCAGACAAACGGAGCAAGGTGCAGGATCCAGAACAAGCAAAAGCCCTGGCAAGGTGAGCAGGAAGGAAGTGAAGTAGGTGGAGTAGGGCAGAAAGATGAAGGCTGAGGAGGCTGTAAGCTGCCACAGGCCCCACCCCCGCTGGTACCACTCAGCAGTTTCCATCATGGGGGTGATCATGTATCTAATTTTAACAGGGAAGTGATCACAACATTATACAACTGCCAAAACACTGAGAATCATGGCTCAGGCAAGTTGACATAAAATTTCAACCATCACAGTTGTCTTCCATTTTGTGATCTGACATAATCATCCTATGTGCTGGAAATCCTAATTTCTATGATGTTAATAAGGCAGGATTAGAGGCAGTTATGTTAATGAGCAGGATACAATCTACAGGATTAGGCTGTATTTTGAGTTAATCTCTTTTTAGAAAAGAAAGAAGTAAGCAGAGAAGAGGGGGACCTGCTACCACGAAGGAAGGAGAGCCGGGAGTGGAGTGTGTCCTTTGGACCCGGGGTCCTGAGCTGAGAAACTCCTAGACCAGGGGAAGATTGATGATAAGGACTTTCCTCCAGAGCCTTCTCCTGGAGCTGGTGCCCTGAATTTGGACTTCCAGCCTCCTAAACTGTGAGAGAATAAATTTCTGTTTGTTAAAGCCATCCACTTGTGGTATTTCTGTTACAGCAGCACTAAATAACTAAGACACTGCCTTTACCACCTTTCCACAAGGCTGGGCATGATCTGAGGCCCCATGACCTCTCTGGCCTCATTCCCTACCTTTGCACTAGAACACCCTCACCTTCGCCTGTTTGCCAGAGAATGCCCATTCACCATTCAAGGACCAACTCACAAGCCCTCAAACATTTCTTCAGTTTTCTTTGAGTGGAACACGTAGCTCAGGGCTCCCCTGGCCATCTATTCCTTCATTCATTCATGACAACACTGTTCTTGTCAAGGTCACTATCGATGCCTTCCATGTGGCCAAATCCAGAGATCCCTTTGCTGTCCCCATCTTGCTGGTCTGCTCAGTGGCTCTTCCTTGTTGACCCCAAGTCTTCTGGAAACACATTTTCTTTTTGGGTTTGTAACCCCTTCCTGCGGCAGCTCCCCTACAAGGCTCTCAGCCCCTGGGAGCACCCTGCCAGCCTCCGGGCTTCAAACAGAATCCCTACCCCCTACTAACTTCCAGATTTCTATCTGCGGCCACTTCTCAAAGACTCCAGATGGTATTTCCAATTTCCTGCTTGACACCTCCCCTTGGCTCTCTAGCAGGCGTCTCCATCATCTCAAGCCTGCTCCACTGCTGCCTTCCATCCCTGGGGGTCACCCCAGCCCCCTCCGCTCTCACCTCCACATCCACCATTGCAGCACACTCTGGCGGCTCGCCTTTCAAAGCACGTCCCCAATCTGACAACTTCTCACTACCTCCACTGCCCATCCTCACCAGCTCCTCCCTGTCCCCGTCCATCCTTGGCGCAACATTAAACAGCATCAACTCCCCGTGGGGACTCCCCGATGGCTTCTCCCAGCATGGAGAATAAAACCAATAAAACCCCAAGCCCAAACCACAGTCTCCAAGGCCCTAACCGTCTAGGCCCACTGCCTCTCTGAACTGCCACCAATCACTCTCCCCCTTTGATCAATTTTCTCCAGACCGATGGCTTCCTTTCTATTCCCCAAATGCAGCAGGCACACTCCAGCCTCAGGGCCTTTGCACTTGCTCTTCCTGCTGCCTGGAACGTCCCTCTCCAGATGTTTGCATGGCCCTCTCCCTCACCTCCTTCAGGTCTCCGCTCTAATCAAATATCACTTTCTCACAGTGTTCTTCCCCGACCCTCTTCTCTCACTTCCCTACCTATCCCCTTGTCTTGATTTTGCTTCTAAGACTGCATCACATAGGTCTGTGTTATTAACTGGACACCTTATCAGGCCTCTGCCCTTCCGGGCTTCCAGGGCCTGCCCGGGGCACCAGAACCTCAGAGACAGTGAGGACCAAGGGGCGGGCTCAGCAGGCTGGCACAGTGCCCTCACTGAGTTAGCACACAAATCAGAGTGGCTACTTGAATCGATTAAGAACTATGCAAACACCACTATCAGGGAATAGTCTGCTCTTATCAGCCCAGAGGCAAAGGTGTGGGAGGGGAGATGACACCACAGTTGGTCCTTCAATAGGCACAGACCATACTGGGCTGGAGGCTAGAAGCACAGTCCCCAATCTGGGAAGGCAAGCGGTGACTTACCTGGGATGCCCACCCTCCAGCTCACACACACAAACCTGCGCTTTGACCCTGCCAATCCTCAGGCCACGCTGGGCCCGCTGCCCAGAACACCCTGTCCTCCAATGTTAACAGGAAGCCGCATAGCCTCAGAGGGAGGAGTTGTGGTTTAGGAGCCAGGCAGCTCTGGACTTGTGACCCCAGACTCTCCACTGTCCGGGCGGGGGCCGCTGGGTAAGTCATTTGGCTTCTTAGAGGACAGTAGTCGAAACCCCCTCACTGGTTGGCCATGAGGAGTTATAAGTGCCCCGCATGGGGCCTGGCACATAGTAGGTGCTCACAAAATCTCTATTGTTAAATTGACCAGAGATGCTGAAGGTCCAAGCCGTGGTCAATGGCTGGGCGGGCAGCATCCCTTCCCCACCTGTATTCAGTCACTGACCCACCATCCATGAGCCCCTACTATGCACTCAGCACTTAAACACATTGCCAGCACCTTGCCCTCGAGACGGCCTAGGAGTCAGGACTGTGAGCATCCTCATTTCACAGACGTGGAAAGCAAGCATCAGCGACACAAGGACACTCACCCAAGGCCACCCCGTGGCCAGGAAGCAGAGGAGCTGAGACCTGAATGCAGGTGTGCAGGGACCTGTTCGTGATCATCCCATGTCATGGATTGAATTGTGTCCCCCCAAAATATGTGTCAACTTGGTTGGGCCATGATTCCCAGTATTGTGTGGCTGTCCTGCATTTTGTGACTGAAATTTTACATTAAGGAGGATTAGGGTGGGATTCTAACACCCTTACTAAGGTCACATCCCTGATCCAATGTAAAGGGAGTCTCTCTGGGGTGTGGCCTGCATCACCTTTTATCTTCCAAGAGATAAAAGAAAGCAGTGCTGGGAGCAGAGCCATGTCCTTTGGACACCGGGTCCCTGCGCGGAGAACACGGATGAGAAGGCCGAGAGAGAGAGAGAAAGCCTTACCCTGGAGCTGACACCCTGAATTTGGACTTTCAGCCTACTTTACTGTGAGGAAATAAACTTCTCGTTGTTAAAGCCATCCACTTATGGTATTTCTGTCATAGCAGCACTAGATGACTAAGACACCCCAGATGAGGCTCCAAGGTCAAACTATCTATATTCCTGCCCTTGAAAGTGGTGCTCTGAGGCTGGAGGTGCAGGTCCCGCTCACTCCCGGGGGCAGGGTAGGGGTGCCTGGCTCCTGCCAGTGAATGGGTTAGCCTCCCAGCACCTGCCCACCCCACCCCAGACCCAGATGGTGCAATCAGCCTGCCAAGCACTATTGGTTTAGGCATCCAGAATGCTTTTAACGAGATTGTGGGAGCCCAACACTCATTCCAAGACAGCTGGGAGCCCGGACTCGGGGAGGGGATGCGTGCCGAGCTAGAGGGAAGAGGGGAGGGTGTCGCATGGTGAGGAAGGAAACTGAGTAAGCTCAGCATCTGAAGTGAGGATAGTGACCTAAGAACTGTATTGTGTGTCTGGCTTGGAGGCTGACTCTGGACAGACCCCTTCCTTCTCCTCTCTGAGCCTCAGTTTCCTCAGCTGAAAAATGATGGTGACTTTCGTATCTACCTCCCAGGTTGTAGCTCAGTGACCACTCACCAATGGAAACCAGCAAGCGGGTGCTGATACACTGCACCTCACTAATTCAGTCATTCGATGACTGAGCACCTACTGTATGCCAGGCCTTGTGCTTGGTGCTGGGGACACAGCCGCAAACAAAACAGACAAAATCTCTGCCTTCAGGGAGCTGACGTCTGAGTTGGGGGAGACATAACAAATAAAGACACGCGTTGCATAATAGAGTAAGGCGAGGAGATAGCGTATGACTAGGCTATTTTTGGAGGGGCAATCAGGGAGGGCCTCCCTGAGGAGGTGACCTCTGAGAAGAGACCTGGAGGAGGGAATAAACCATGGGTCTGTCTGCAGGAGGAGTGTTCCGGGCAGAGGGAACAGCGTATGCAAAGGCCCTGAGGTGGGAATGTGCTCCACAGCCTGTGTTAGAGGCAGAGTGAGCAGGCCGGTGTGGTGGGAGAGGGATGAGAGAGGGTACAAGTGGAGGGAGAGGGTCTGAGAGGAGCAGGGGCCAGGCCACACAGGGCCTTGCAGGCCAAGCTGAGGAGCTGGCATTTGATTCTAGTCCAGGGTTCAGAGCAGGGGAGAGACGCGACCTGCTTAGGTTCTAATAGGATCTCTCTGACTGCATGTGGAGAATGGACATTGGGGTCAAAGGCAGGGAGGCCTGGGAGGATGCTCCTGCAATAGTCCAGGTGAAGAGGATGGTGCTGGACCAGGGTGGGGGCAGCAAGGCCAGGGAAAAGTGGCTGGATTTTGGGTGCACTTTGAAAGCAGAGCCAAAAGGGTTTGCTGATGGTTTGGATGTAAAATGTGAGAGAGAGAGAGAGAGAGAAGGGACCTGAGATTTACACCCAGGTTCTGGCCCAAGTGACGGGAGGGATGGAGACGCCATCGACTGAGATGGGGAGGCAGCGAGCATTCTCACATCATGAAACCCACGTGTGTGAACACACACACACATGCACACACGCACACACGCACACACACCCCCGAGCGGCACAGACACCAGCTAGGTCCCTGGTCCCCTGGGGGAACCGAGGCAGACAGCAGGGCCTTGGGCACTCACCCACACCCAGCATGACGAGAGGCGTGTGCTCCCAGCGGGCCAGCAGCAGGAGGTGGACCAAGTTGTGGGCGATGAGGCTGAAGCACAGGATCACACAGCACCATTCCTGGAAGCGCTTGCCTGTGGGAAGAGGAGGCAAGAGGTGAATGCAGGACGGGGTGGAGGCTGGGGTCAAAGCTGGGCAGAGCTGGGGGCTCTTCAGCGGTACAGTGGGTCTGTGGCCCACAGGCTGAGCTCATGGCGTGCCAAGTCATACTCCCATGAGGGAAACCACCCAGCCCACCCATTTCACAGATGATGCTACAGAGGGCCACAGAAGGGGAGCGGCCTGCCCAAGGTCATATACCAGGACCAGCTACATTCACTCGCTCCGCAAGAGAAAGACCTGTCAATCTGCTCCCATAAAGACTGCAGCCTAGAAAACCCTATTGGGCAGTTCTATTCTGTCACATGGGGTCACTAGGAGTTGAAATTGACAACAAGTATAAGATGAAAATATGGGTCCCCTTGTTCAAAATTATTAAGAATTATTATCCTTAACCAACTTACCCTAGAATGTGATAAAATATAAGCTGATAACCCTTTTATGACTGAATTATTTTTTGCTGTGAATTTTTTGTTGATGGAATGGTTTTTCAGTAGTAGAATGCATGCTAAATCTCTGAGCCTTTTTAAATTTTCGTTAGGTAATATGGATTTTGATAAATATTATGTGAGACACATATGTTCCACTGGACTCTTGTGGTAGGATGAGGCATGAAAAAATCGTTTATTGTAGCGATTTATTTTATTCTGTGAAACTTTAAAACATGGGATAACACATAAAGGCACCTTGCAATGGCTGCCAAAAAAAAAAAAAAAAACTATTATCCTCAACATTTGTTACATTATTATTAAGAATTTCAAAATGACAATAGTAGAGCATTAAACCAGGCCCCCCTTAAATCACAGCCTTCCTGAGCGCAAGGCTCTGCACCCACAAAGCTGGCCCTCACACACTAACTCTTTGGCAGATGGGACCAGAATGCTGGTCTCCTGGGCCCCTTTGGGTTCTCTCTGGAGACACCTGAGGGGACTTTAAGGAGCTTTTTTTAACCCACATCTTCAGGGCCTCACCTGTCCCCTTTCCTGGGTGACTGTCTGGAGGTGGAAGCTACAAACAGCCTTTAATTCTGGAGGCTCAGACCCAGCCCTCCCTCGAGCAGGGCTCCAGGCCGTGAGACAGGTATTCGTGGAGAAACAAGGCCTTAGGCATCACTTCTAAAACTCCTGTCAGGAGCAGGGGGTCTCGAGTAAGACATGGAGAAGTGGCAGTGAAGACAAGAGGTCTGAAGCTCTCAAGTCTCCAGGGGTTGGGCAGGTGAAATGAAAGAGGGAGGTGGGCCAGGCAGGGCAGGGGGTACCAGCACATGTGCCCCTTCTAAATGGGTGGCCACTATCTGCCTGACTGCTGCCAAACTCAAGAGTGGGCCCAGGGGGACTGCTCTTTGGATTCTCAAGAGAAGCTGGAAATCTGGATTTGGGTGTGAAATTTCCTGTGCAAATGTTGACTCACATTTTTAATAGGCACAGTGAGGATGGACAAGTTTATTCACTGCAGCTTTGTTTGAGGAGTCAAAACACTGAAAATACCCTAAGTGTCCACTGCCTGGGGATCAGCCAAATTAACTACAGTCCCTGGCAGCTCTCAGGCTGGGAAAAAGCCTGGGTGGCAGTCTATGTGTGGATGTGGAGGGGTGTCCAGGTTGTGTGGTTGAATGCAAATGCAAAGTGCAGAAGACCAGTCATTTATGCAAAAAAGGAAGAGATAAACAGGCCATATAGCCGAAACTGGCTGTTAGCTTACTCAGTTTTGAATTTAGAATTTGTGAATATACTGCCATGTTAAATTTTTTTTCTTTTTATTTTATATTAAATATTTACCTTAGGTGAAGGGAAGGACAACATACAATACAGGTGAAGTCAGCACAACTGGACTAAAGCAAAAGCTAAGTAGTTTCCTGAATACAACAAACACTTTGAGGGACAGAGTAGATGGGGCTGGGGGCTGGGGACCATGGTTTCAGGGGACAGCTAGGTCAATTGGCGTAACAAAATTTATTAAGAAAGTGTTCTGCATCCCACTTTGGTGAGTGGTGTCTGGGGTCTTAAAAGCTTGCAAGCGGCCATCTAAGATGCATCAATTGGTCCCAACGCATTTGAAGCAAAGGCGAATGAAGAACACTAAAGACACGAGGAAAATATTAGCCCAAGAGACAAAAGGGCCACATAAACCAGAGACTCCATCAGCCTGAGACCAGAAGAACTAGATGGTGCCCGGCTACCATCAATGACTACCCCGACAAGGAACACAACACAGAGTCCGTGATGGAGCAGGAGAAAAGTGTGGAGCAGAACTCAAATTCACATAAAAAGATCAGACTTAATGGACTGAGACTGGAGAAACCATGGCCTCCAGACACTCTGTTAACCCAGAACTAAAACCATTCCTGAAGCCCACTCTTCAGACAAAGATCAGACTGTAAAATATAAAACAATACTCGTGAAGAGTGTGCTAAGATTCTTAGTTCAAGCAGATACACGAGACCAAATGGGTGGCTCCTGTCCAGAAGCAGGATGAGAAGGCAGGAAGGGACAGGAGCTGGCTGGATGGACACAGGAAACCTGGGGTGGAAAGGGGGAGTGTGCTGTCACATTGTAGAGACCGCAACTAATGTCACATAACAATATGTGCGTAAATTTTTGCATGAGAAATTAACTTGAGCTTGAAACTTTCACCTAAATGACAATAAAAAAAAAAAAAATTAAAAAAGAAACTGAAAAGCAAAACACCATGTGGGTAGCACAGAACACTTCTCCCAGTGGGACTGGGCCCCTGGGGATGTAGGTTTGCCAAGCAGCTGGTCCCAAGGGTGTGGAAGACCCTTTAATGGCAATACTTTTATTATTAGTGTTTAACATCTACTGAGTAGTTACTATGTGCCGGGCATTCTACTGAGGTGATACCACCCCCATTTTACAGATGGGAAAACTGAGGGTCAGAGTGGTCAAGGAACTAGCGAGTCAGCCACAGACCAGGATCCCATAGCCAGAGGAACTGGCTCCCTAGACCCAGCTCCTGCTGCCCCAGGTCCCTCTCTCCCTTCTCCACCACTGTTATCGTCCCAATGACATTCTTGGGTCAAGAGCCTAGTTTATCTTAAGCAATATGGCTGGGCAGGCCTCTGTGACTGGTTAAGGACTGATGGGGCCAGCACCAGAGCAGGTAAGGAGTCTGTCTTCTCCTCTCTTTGGGACTTTGCAAGAGCTAGTTCCCTCACCCACAGCACCCTTTGCCTCCTCTACACCTGGCTGGCTCCAACACCTCTCCCGATCTCAACCTGGATACTACCTCCTCCAGGAAGCCATCCATGATGTCCCCTCCAGCCCTGTGTTCCCCAATGTGGGGTCCATCATTGCCTGGATAACATACATGACACGGCCTATGTAACATCTGTCTCTCCGACCCGCATGTGAAATGTGGGAGGCCCAGGATCCAGAGGACCACATCTGGCTCACTCACCAGTGCCCTAGTACACAGCTGATACCCAATAACTGCTTGTGGAATGAACAAATTCCCAGCTGCAATCCTTAAGGGAAAATACCAGGCTTTGCCTCTGGGCACCCCTCATCAAATCACCTTGGGAAAGACATGGCAGGCTCCCCACTTTTCCTGATAGGGAAACGGAGGCTTAGAGGGAGAGGGCCTTGTCCAGGTCCCACAGCAGCATGCTACAGACAGAGGCTCCCTGACCTGCCCTGAACCAGAACATTCACCAGCTGCCCTCCCCTGCCCAGGCACAAGACCAAGGCTGGAGGGTGGGGGAGTGGGGAAGGGAAGAGACTATGCCCTGGGTCATATCCCCATGGCCCCCTCTGTATAGCTGGGGATACCGACGCTCAGAAAGGGCAAAGACCTTGACAGAGGTCACACAGTTGCAGAACTGGGCTAGAAGGCTGCTTCCCAGTCAGCAGCCCTACTGCCCCAGCAGCGCCGCCCTGGGGGCACCATGCCCATGCCCCACAGGGCCTTTTCTTTTCTGGTTTCTGTTTGTGGTGAGGCTTTGGGCTCAGAAGTGGGAAGCCCAGGGGAGGCATCTGACCCCTGGTGGGGGGTGGGGGGTGAGGGGCAGTAAAGAGGTCAGTATTCCCTCTGACCTGCCTGCCTGCCCTTAGAGGACGGGGACAGAGATCACATCACAGTCACAATAACAAAGGCTGACACCCACTGAGGCCGGTGCAGCCCACCTGAGAGAAGCTGCAAACTGGCCCCCTTGGACAAATTTTGCCCTCAGTTTTTAAAAAATGAGCTATACTTTAAAAACTGGGACATTTCACACAAAATTCCTAGCTTCCCACTTTCCTTGGGAACACGGGGCTCTTGCTCTCTGGGCCAGGGCAGTGGTGGCTGCCCCTGTTAGATGAGGATGGGCACTCAGTTGACCCAGCTTGGTCCTTTCCCCTCCCTGCCGTCTCACACTGGCAAGCTCCCTGTGGTCATCTGAGGTTATGAGCCCAAGGTATAGTCTCTCACTCAATCCTTGAGTGAGGAACTGTGTGATTCCATTTTCCAGATAAGGAGACTGAGGCTCAGTGGGTAAGAAGCAGAGCTGGGTTTATCCTGGGCTCATAATCGGAACATGTTAGCCTGGACACTTGAGGCTATCCTGATTCCAAAGATGGCTCAGCTCTACCCTCCTGCCATGAAGAATGTCCCCCAAATCTGAATATATTTCCATCTAAACTCCATCTCTTTGGCCTCTGGAAGCTGGATCCTTCTGCAGACTAAGTGTCTCAACTTTAATCCATTAAAAAGCATCGAGAATTATAAGCAGTGTTCACGGAGGCTGACTACGAGCCAAACACAGAGGTGAGGATTATCATCCCCATACCCCGTGGGCTGGGGTCACTCGCCCCATCCATGAGAGAGGGAATCTCAGCCTAGAGATGCAGTGGTATGTTCAAAGTCATTCAGAGGGTCACCAAAGTCACTGCACAGACCGTCAGCCTGGCAAGGCCCATGGGGTCAGGCCGCCAAAATGGCATCACTTTACATATGGGCAGGCTGAGGCCTAGGGAGGGGAAGGACGTTGCTCAGAACACAGGAGGCCCAGGCTGCCTGCTGCCCAGGGTGCTAGGGCCTTGTTTCCCAAGGATCTGGGCCAAGTTACAGGAGTGACTGACTTGTTGGCCTGGCGGAGGAGGCCAGGCTCATGCATGGGGGTATGGGGTGACTGGGAGGGGCAGGGGAGGCCAGGCGCCAGGCCTCTGCCATCTCAGCTTCTCCCAGGGCAGTCCGCATACAAAGGCTCCGTGTCAGGCCTGACTCAAGCCCAAAGTCCTCTGGTTCATCAGAGCCAAGCCCCCAGGAACCTGCACCTCTGATGGCCCTTGGGCACCGGGAAACCCTTAACCTGAGGGAGACTGTGGAGGTGGGGAGGGGGTAAGAGAGGACAGGAGCCAGAGAGAGACAGTGAGAAACACAGGGAGAGGAAAGACGAAGAGCATGACCAGAGGGGGGCGGGGAGGCAAAAGAGATGCAAAAAGACCAAGGTTGAGGGAGACAGAGGGAAAGCTGGGCTCAGAATGTGGCAGGGACCAGGCCTGGTCAGGGAGGGGTCCAAGGCCAGACCTCTGTCCACTGGCTCTGGCCAGGCCCATTTAGAGGACTGAACCCCAGGCTCAGCTTTGGGAGTACAGGACCCTGCCCAGCACTCTGGACCTCCCCACTGCCTTCCCTGTCACCCCACCTAAGAGTCCCTGTGCCTCTCAGTTGGCCAGGATAGGGTGGGCAGTTAGCTCCAGAGACACCTCCAGGGCACTGGAAAGTCGCACGCACATAGCTAGTTCTGGTTGGACACCTGCCCAGGGAGGCGTGCCAGCCCACTGGGCCCTTCTCAAACCCCTGCACCCAGCATGGGGCAGGCTGCTGCTGAGAACCCCACATCTGGAGCAGAGCAGGCTGCATATGACCCTCCATGGCTCCCAGACCCCACAGGACCAGGCCACAACTCCTTGGCCAGACACTCAGGGCCCTGCGGGACCAGTTGTTCCCGCCCCTGCACTTTACCCCTCACTCACCGTTCCCCAATGTACCAGCCTGGCTCTCTCCACCACCAGCCCTTCACACATGCTGTGCCGCTGACCCGGAACATCTGTCCGCCTCCCACACCCCCGCTCCTGGCCAGCTCACTTCCATGGTGAAGAACACAGAACCCAGAACGTCCCCGACCTGTGTTTCGGTTCTGGCCCGCTGCTGACCAGCTGACTTTGGGCAGGTCGCTGCTCTTCTCTAAGCCTCACGAAATGTCTTAACAAAGACGGACTGGGTGCTCATGCTGTGTCAGGTGCTGCTAACGACCAAAGAGGCAGCCCCTGGCCTTGCTGACCTTCCTGTCAAGTGGGCACCAATGCAGAACAGATGCTGGCCTGCTCCTGGCGGGGACAGGTGTCAAGAGGAACACGTGAGCGAGGACTAGGAGGGGGCTCGGTTTCTTTCTCTGTAAAATGGGGTTAACACCAGTGTGCACCTCTGAAAGCTGTCGTTGGTTGCTGTCGAGTCGATTCCAATGCATGGTGACCCCATGTGCGTAGAGTAGAGCTGCTCTGTAGGGTTTTCATGGAAAAAACCTTTCAGAAGCAGATCTCTAGGCTTTTCTCCTGAGGTGTCTCTGGGTGGGTTCAAACCACCAACCTTTCGGCTAGTAGTCGAGGGCTTAACCATTTGCGCCACCCAGGGACTCCTCAGAAAGTAGTAGTGAGAATGAAATGAGAACATAGAGGAAATGCCCAGAACACAGCCAGTGCTCAATAAACATCAACTTTGTAAACTGCGATTATTATTGTTGTCAACTGTCAGCAAAAGGCCACACCACCTCTGGCCCCAGGAATCTCAAGAATTCAGTTCTAGAACCCAGGACCTTCCTCTCCTACGCTCCTCAGCCCACAGGCCTCCTTAGTGTCCTCAAACACAGCAGGCATGGTACTACCTCAGGGCCTCTGTACTTGCTGTTCCCTTTGTCTGACCAATCCTTCCTGAAATAGCCTCATGGCTCCCTCCCTTCCCCCCTTCAGGTCTCTGCTCAAATGTCACCTGCTCAGTGAGACCTACCCTGCCCCCTCTCTAAAACATCACCCCCCAATATTTCACCTCCTCTTTTCCTGCCGTATGCCTGCTCCATAGCACTTCCTACCACCTACCCTGCAAGATATTTCACTTATTTATTGGACTTGTTGTCAGTCTTCCTGCTAAAATGCAATTCCATTTGTTCTCTCTTGTTCACCACTTTCCCCCATTGCCTAGCACAGGGACTAGAACACAGGTGCTCGATATGTATTGAACCTGGTCTCTCTAGTTATTCTAAAGACCAGAGAGATCAAGGTACTTCCCTAAGACCACACAGCGAGGGGACAGAGGCAGACAGAATGAGGCCTACAGAAAGGAATTTGGAGAAACCAGTCAGGCCAGTGCCTACCTTCGCCCTATGTCCATGTCAGGAGGACGTGGGGATAAGGCCTTGACCGCAGTTTTGGGGCACCAGAGTATGGCTGTTCTTCAGAGAGTGACAGGCACTTGGGGAAGCCAGAACCCAACAAAGATGTAATCAAGGTGGAGTGCAGAGATGGTGGTCCCTCGGGGGGCTGGGAATGCCTGGTTATGATCTGGGCTGGTTGAAAGCAGATGGCGTTGACTAGGGTGGGCAGAGCTGGGCACCAGAAAGGCCTTTGAATCCTTCCCCTCAATTCCTGGGGGAGTGGGGGAGGGTTTGAAAGGCAGAGAGGTGAAGTAGCTGGCTCTGAGCCCCACAGCCAAGGTTAGACTATTAGGTTAACAAGGAGCACCTACTGTATGCCAGGCACTGTGCCCAAGTGGATGATCTCGTTTCCTCTTCCCAACAACACTAAACAGCAGGTAAACTTTACCTGTGCCTATTTTAAAGATGAGAAAACTGAGGCTCAGAGAGGGGAAGTGGCTTGGTCCAGGTAACACAGCTAAATCGCAGATTAAGATGCTAACTCCAGCTTACCCCAGGGAGAGCAGTAGGGTTTAACGCCACAGGCTGGCTGCTTTGGAAACGAGCCGAAGAAATGGTGGCAGCATAAAGCAGGTGCCCAAGTTAGGTTTGCACAAACAGGGGATTGAATTGCAAGGCCAGGAAGGTAGCCAGTGACCAACAACCCTTACAGAGACTCAAAGAGAGAAAGTAAATGGCCCAAGGTCATGCAACTTGTTATGGCACTCAAACCAAGGCTAGCCCAGGCCAGAAGCCAGGGAGGAGCAGGGTAGGGGGTGGTTAGAGGCCCTGTGCCCACCCCCAGTCAAGGGCTGTGTTTGGTGGCCAGTCTGTAGCTCCTGAGGCTATAACTAGAACGGGGCTTTGAGGGAAGGCCTCTAGGGTACTCTGCAACTAGTGGGTTCCTGAGTTGGGGGGTTCCCGGAGCTAGGGGACTGACGTTCCTAGATTTTGGTGGGGGTGGGGGTGAAGTCACTGTAGCCCAGGGGCCTGGATGAGGCACAGCTGGGTGCTAGGGTGTGGATTCTGGATCTGGGGAACCCGGGATAGGGTGTGACTTTCAGGGGACCGGAGACAAAGCTTGTAGTTGGTGGGGAAGGGAGCCTGACTTCAGCTAGGGCCGGGCCTTGGGGTGGGGATCCCTAAAACTAGGCAATTTTTGCATCCAGGATGCCCCAAGGCTAGAATCCCGGATCTAGGGGTGCAACGGAAGCTCTGTTTGTGGCTTGGAGCGCTGGTATGGTAGTTCCTAGGTCTGGGGGCGCTCCTTGCAGCCAGGGAGCCCTTCTGCCTTGGGCTTGGAAAGGGCTTTGGGTGGGGTCCCCAGACCTGGGGACGCTATTTGCAAGTTAGGAGCCAAAGCTGGAGTTCCACATCTGGGCCCGAGACTGGAGTTCCGATCTGGAGGACCCGGGGTGGCTGTCTGCAGCGCGTGCTGGTGACCGCAGGCCCAGAGCGGGGCACGGAGGTCCTACCTGGAGAGTAAAGCGCGGCCAGCTCGCGGGCCCCGGCGTGTTGCGCGCCCCAGCGCGGGCAAGCAGCCCCTCCGTCCTCGTCGAGCTCCGGCTGCTGGCCTGGCCCGTCCTCGGTGTCCGCCATGGCCACTCGCCCGGCCCGCCCCGTGCGCTCTGCTGGCGGCGGCGGCTGCGGTGGCGGCGGCAGCGGCAGGGCCGCGGAATCGCGGCGAGATCACGCCGTCCAATGACCGCTCAGCGCAGGGTGCGGCGGCGGCGCCGGCGGGGGCCTCGCCCGGCCTCGCGTCACAGCCAATCGGGACCCGCGCCGGAGCGGTGACGGCCAATGGGCGGCCGCCGAGCCACAGCCAACCGCGGCGCGTGGAGGGCCGATCCACAGCTGGCAGCGGCTGGGCGCGGAAACGCCGGGTGGCGGTGCTCCCCGACCCGTCTTGCTGCGCCCCGGCCGGGGCTTTATCGGGAGGAAGTCCCGGGCCTGCCACCGCCCACCGCTGGTGTCGCTTTACCGCCCTGCGGTGGGCTGGGGCCGTGCGCCGCCGGGCCCAGAAACTGCCATTTCGTCAGTACGCACTGTTAAGCGCCTACTGTGTGCATAGCCACGGATGGAAGGCGGCGGGCCGGGGCCAAAGACCGAGCGCTTGGTGAGCCCTTACACAGTGCTCCCAGCTGGGACGGATTTACATTCCGCCAGTTTATCAAACCCTACCGTATGCAGGGTCCCTAGGGCCGTGGGTGCGCCTATTACCGTGCCAGCTCTGTGCTGTGCGCGGGAGCGGAGGAACCTCTATCCTGTCCTCCAGCGGCTCATGTTCTCCCCAGGGAGAGGGACAATAAATTGGTAACAGTAAGAAAATAACAGTAAGAGTCGCTGTAAGATTTGTTGACCGCTTAATATCGGAGCGCTGGGCCGAGAGCTAGCCGAGCAACACTTCATTTACTCTTAATGCCCAGTAATGCTGCCGCCTCAGAGAGGCCCCTTCTGGTCACCCCGCTCAAAGTGGCCGCCTCCCCCTGTCACTGTGACATCACCCTGTTTCGTCTTCACAGTGCTTGTCATGGCCAGTGAGTTTGCGGATTCATGTCTGCTCCACCAGAAAATGAGCTTCTGAGGGCAGGGACTTGCTTTGTTCACAGCAGAACCCCGCGTCTGGATCGGTGTCTGGCTCGTAGCAAAAGCTCAATAAATATTTTTTGAATAAGAGAGAGAGTGTGTAGGCGTTTTTGGATAAGGAACTAAGGCTCAGCCAAAAGCCTCTAATAGCTCAGCAGGTAAATGACAAGGGCAGGGTATTACCTGAGTCTAGCTGACTGCAAACCTAAAAAACAAAAAATGGATTCGATTCCAACTCATAGCGACCCATAGGACAGAGTCAAATTGCCCCATAAAGTTTCCAAGGAGTGCTGGTGGATTCGAGCTGCCAACCTTTTGGTTAGCAGCCAAATGCTTAACCACTGCGCCACCAAGGCCCCAGCTGATTACAAAGTACACTATAATCGCTCACATAAATTCCATACAGTATGATCAAATGGGAGCTACCTAGAGACTGTGGAGGGACCAAAGAGGTGCCTGAGGGGAGTAGGGAGGGAGCAGGGAGGTAAAACCCCTCCCAGAATTTCTGAGACTCCATCCTGTCCTGGTTCTCCAAGGTTTTAAGGCTCTGGATTCTTCAGCTGCTAGGTCAAGCCAGTCACTCCAAGGGCTGTTTCCTGAGTGTTCCGCCCTGGGTGGCCTCTGTCCCCAGCCAGGCCCATGCTCCCCCTCTGCTTCTTTCCTACACCTCCTTCCAGGAAAGAAAAGCCCCTTGGATGGTGGGAAGGATGGGGGAAGCTGGCTGGCTTTGCATCATTTATTAACTACATGATTGGATTTTCACCCCAGAAGCTTAAGGTGCTTGTCTTGGTGGAGGTGGGATCTCAGATTCCAAGGAAACACATTCCAAAGTTCTCTGTATATATGTCCCAGAGCCTCCAAGGGGCTGGAGACCCCTTTAGTAACCGGTGCACGATGGGTGGTGACAGACTACCTTAGAAAATGCATTCATTTATTCTTTCATTCAACACGTATTTATTAAGCACCAACTTGGCTCAGGCACTATTCTAGGGAAACAGCAGGGGACATGACAGAGTCCCTGTTTTCCTGGGAATGGGGGTGGGGTTCAGGGAAGGCCTGCTCAAGAAGGTGACATTTGAGCGAGAACTACAGGAAGTGAGGAAGCCACTAGTGCAAATATCTGGGAACAAATCATTCCAAGTAGAGGGAACAGCAAGTGCAGAGGTCCTGAGGCAGGAACATGCTTGCCTGTTCCAGAAATAGCAAGGAAGCCAGGGTGACTGGATGGAGTTCAGCCAGGTTGTTGGGAGGAGGTAGTAGGGCAGGTGGGGTAGGGCCTTGAAAGGAGTTATAAAGTCTTTGGGTCTTAAGGTAAGCTGGGAAGTCTCTTCCTGAAGAATTTTCAACAGAGGAAGGGCATGGCCTGACCTACATTTAAAAATACCTATATATTTTTTAGTAGGTGAAACACTCACATACTTTGAAAATCAAAAGATACACTGACAAGTCTTGCTCCCAGCCCTGTCCCTATCCACCCCTTCCTCACTCCACCCCAGGTAATCATTTATTAGTTACTTGCATATCCTAGTATTTTTAATGCAAAATACAGGCAAAACAAATATATCTTATTGCCCTCTTCTTTTACAGAAAAGATGCATAAAGTATTCTGCCCCTGGAATTTTATAATTTTTTAAAAAATCTTACCCTAGCAGTACAGAATTTCCTCATTCCTTTTTTTTAAAAATTGGAATGTAATTTACATACCATAAGATTCACCCTTTTCATGTGTACAGTTCAGTGTCAATATATTCACTAGATTGTGCAACCATCATCATGATCTAAGTAAGTATATAACATTTTCATTATCCCCAAAGGAAACCCTGTACCCATGAGTCATCACTTCCCATTTCCCTCCTCCGCCCAGCCCCTAGCAACCACTAATCTACTTTCTGTCTCTATGGATTTGCCTCTTTTGGACATTTCATAAGGAGCCCTGGTGGTGTAATGGTTAAGCACTTGGCTGCTAACTGAAAGGTCAGCAGTTTGTACCCCCCCAGCCACTCAGAGGGAGAAGGATGCGGCAGTCTTCTTCCATAAAGATTACGGCCTCAGAAACCCTATGGGGCAGTTCTACTCCATCCTACAGGGTGGCTATGAGTTGGAATCGTCTCGATGGCAATGGGTTTGATTTTGGGTTTTTGACATTTCACGTAAATGGAATCATAATATGTGGCCTTTCGTATTTGGCTTCTTTACTTAGCATAATGCTGTCAAGGTCTATCCATGTTGTAGCATGTATCAGTACTTCATTCCTTTTAATGGTTGAATATCATTCCATTGTATAGATCTACTACATTTGTTTAGCCATTTATCAGTTGATGGATATTTGGGTTGTTTCTACTTTTTGGTTATTATAAATAATGCTGCTATGGACATTTGTGTACAAGTGTTTGTGTGGACTTATGTTTTCATTTCTCTTGGATGTATCTAGGAGTGGAATTACTGGGTCAAATGGTAACTCTGTGTTTAACTTTTCAAGACGCTGCCAAAATGTTTTCTACAAGGGCTGCACCATTTTTTATTTCCACCAATATATGAGGGTTCTAATTTCTCTACAGGAGCACTGGTGGTGCAGAGGTTAAGCACTTGACTGCTAACTGAGGTCAGTGGTTCAAGCCCCTTAGTGGTTCTGTGGGAGAAAGTTGTGGCAGTCTGCTTCTGTAAAGATTACAGCCTAGAAAACCCTATGGGGCAGTTCTACTCTGTTCTGTAGGGGCTCTATGAGTCAGAATCCAGTTGACAGCGACGTATTTTTTTTTTTTGGTTTTTTGTTTTCTTTTAAAATTTCTCCACATCCTCGCCAACACTTGTTATTTCCTTTAAAAAAATTTTTTTTATGGCTATCCTATGCATGTGAAGGGGTATCTCATTGTGCTTTTGATTTGCATTTCCCTAATGATTAATGTTGAGCTTATTTTCATGTGCTTATCGCCCATTTATATATCTTCTTTGGAGAAATGCCTATTCGGATCCTTTGCCCGTTTTAAAATTGGATTGCTATCTTTTTATTTTTGAGTTATAAGAGTTCTGTATGTATTCTGGATACTAAAATATGTTTAATATATTTTCAAATAGATTTGCAAATATTTTCTCCCGTCTCTGAGACTCAAGCTTGGAAGCTACCCCGAGACAGACACCTCCTAAAGTGTCACAGTATTGGGGAACAGAGCCCCCATGACTTGCCCCGAGTCACACTGATGCTGATTGTCCCATTCATTTATTCATCAAATCTTTACTGAGGCCTGCTCTGGGCCAGAGGCTGTGCAAAATGCTGCAATACAGGGATAAACATAACAGATGAGGCCCTGGCCCTCACAGTTGTGAAAGAGAAAGACAATAAACATCTAGAAAGATAACCTAAGGCCAGGCAGTTGTCAAGTATTTCATTCTACCTGGATCAACAATTAACATCCATAGAAGCTACAGTCAAGGAATAAAATGAAGTATTGCCTTGGGCAAGTCTGCTGTAAAAGATCTCTTCAAAGTTTTAAAAAGCAAAGATGTCACTTTGATGACTATGATGGTTAAGGTTGTGTCTCAGCTTGGCCGGGCCATGATTCTCAGTGGTTTGGCAGTTATGATGTAGTTTGGCAACTAGGTAATGATGTAATCACTTCCATAATTAGATCTGATATAATGTAATCACCTCCATGATGAGATCTGCCGTGAGCAGCCAATCAGTTGAAAGGGCGTTTCCTTGGGGGTGTGGCCTGCTTCCAATGTGTGAACTTTCTGGCAAAGCTTGCTGGCTTTTGCTTGCTCTGGATCCTGCAGCTGGCTCCTGATCTGACCTCCGGATCTTGAGACTTGAGCTAGCAGCTTACCTGTCTGTCTTGGGATTAATCAGCCTTTGCAGCCTGGGAGCCAAGGACTGCTGTCTTACCTGTCAATCTTGGATTTGCCAGCACCTGCAGTTACATGAGTTAGGAGAAGCCTCCAGACTGACCCATGTACTTGGAACTTTCTAGCCTCTACAACTGTGTGACCCATTTCCTTGATATAAATTTCTCTCTCTCTCTCTCTATATATATATATGTATACACTCCACTGATATTGTTTCTCTAGAGAATGCGGGCTAAGACAATGGCTAAGGCGTGCCTAACTCAAGCCATGGTCTTTTCAATCATCTCATATGTATA